TTCGTTTGTGTCGTGCGTGCGGGCGAGGCGAAGCTGCGTGGGCGCGCGAGAGGAATGAACCCGCCGCTGCCAGGGCGAAGTCAAGACAAATAATCCTCCACCCGCCCGTCCAGTGGTGGCTCGCGGTGTCCCGCAGTGTCCCGCGGTGTCCCGTGGTGTCCCGTGGTGTCCGCCGTTGCTAGGGCGAAGTCAACACAAATGATTCTTCCCCGCCCGCCAGTCAGTCCGTCCGTCCGGCGGTGGCTCGCGGCATCTCGCGGTGTCCCGTGGTGTCCCGTGCTGTCCCGTGGCGTCCCGTTGAGTCAGATCGGTAGTGAGACCGACAGTGAGATCGATAGTGAGATCGATACTGAGATCGATACTGAGATCGATGTGGTGCCCCGAGGTGTCCTGTGGTGTCCCGTGGTGTCCCAAAAAGTGAGATCGATAGTGAGATCGCCAGGTGTCCCGTGGTGTCCCATGGTATCCCGTGGTGTCCCGTTGAGTGAGATCGATAGTGAGATCGATAGTGAGATCAATTACTGAGATCGATGTGGTGCCCGTGGTGGCCCGTGATGTCCCGTGGTGTCCCAAAATGTGAGATCGATAGTGAGATCGATAGTGAGATGGACAAGTGTCCCGTGGTGTCTCGTGGTGTCCCGTGGTGTCCCGTGGAGTGAGATCGATAGTGAGATCGATACTGAGATCGATAGTGAGATCGATAATGAGATCGATGTGGTGTCCCGAGGTGTCCCGAAGTGTCCCATGGTGTCCCGTGGTGTCCCGTGGTGTCCTATGGTGTCCCGTTGAGTGAGATCGATAGTGAGATCGATAGTGAGACCGATAGTGAGATCGAGAGGTCTCCCGCGGTGTCCCGTGTTGTCCCGTGGTGTCCCGTGGTGTCCCGTGGTGTCCCGTTGAGCGAAATCGATAGTGAGACCGATAGTGAGATCGACAAATGTCCTGTGGTGTCCCATAGTGTCCCCTTAAATCCCGTAATGTCCCGTGGTGTCCCGTTGAGTGAGATCGTTAGAGGGATCGATTGAGTCGGATGTTGGTTCCCCCCCTCCCCCACCTCACAACCTCCTTATCACCCGAAGGGTGGTCGTATAGGTATGTGCTCACAGTACGCCCTGGGCTGTACAGTTCTTGCAGGACATACAGTGTTTACGTGAAAACTGTGAAGACATGGCCTCGTATGACGATCAGGAGTCGGATATCTCTATTTTTGCAGCGGGGGTCGGAGGATCACGGAAGATGGTTAAACACTGATGTGAACATACTGCGCACACTCACTAAGACACGCTACTGCACTGGCGACGGGACGATAGACACGGAGGAGGAGTGGGAGGAAGTTCAGCTTGAGGAGAAACACTATGTATGCGAGGAGATGGTGAGGAGGGAGGACGGTACGGAGCACATGTGAGGTCGACAGAACAAAAAAAACAGCGGGCTCACAACACATACAACGTGCGTACACGGCCAGAGGATGTTTGGTAAGTCCGCTTGCAGTTAACAATCGATTGTCATTGGTGCCGCAGTACTTTCTGCAACAGAGATGTGGCGGTGCAACACGTCTACCCTGACTGTGAAGACGAAGGGGTGTGTTTCGTGAATTTTAGCTGGAGGCACGAGGTGATTCAGCCGAAGTCCATGGCTTTCCTCGTATGTAATGTTCAGGCTCAAAGCTTGAAGGCACTGCAGTCACATGTTTGGATCATCCTGGGCTTGCAAGGGCTCGCTTCACACGTGACGCCGAGGGCCGAGTCGGAGCACAGGGTCGAGAACGAGCACGCGCAGACGGTGTGGAGAGTGACAGGCGCGGCGGCTACGGCTTCAGGTGGGGCGCCGCAAGGAGCTGCACGCGCTGGCTTAGGCGGAGGCGCAGGGCAGTTGACGGAGCAGGACCAGATGGGCAAGGGCGCGCCACATTAGTTCCAGAAGGTCAGGGGCGGCACCAGAGCTCAAGGCAGGGACGACGTCGACCTGGTGGACGCGGTGATCTCGCTGCAGAAGATGGGGCTGAGGCAGGACTTGAAGTCGCGCGAGCACGAACACATGTTGTGCCTGTTCTACCTTTCCCCGAAGAAGACCAAGGTGGCGAAGATGGGCCTACAGGGAGGGCATGACTACTACGCGGCGGTGACGAGCAGAGGGAGAGGGCACCGTCTTGGGGCCCCCATACCTTCACGTGGCCGCGGCAGCGTTCGACGGGCTCATCGAGGGATGCTCGGCTGGGCCCCACAAAGACGTGCTGGTGGCATACCAGAAGCTCTTCGGCCACGAGAGCGGCCAGAAGTTCGTGAAGGAGATCTTCGGCATGCTCAAGCTGAAGGAGGCGCACAACGAGGACGGGACGGAGGGCAAGGACATCCAGGCGAAGGTGAGCTTACGCATCAATCGGATGGCGGGCGTGGCGATGCTGATCGAGAGCATCAAGGGCTCCCAGCTTCGCGCTTCGCGCAGCGCGAAGCGCGAAGTGCGAACAACTTCGCGCTCTCGCGCCGCCTCCCAGGGGAGAAGGGGAGGACGAGGAGGAGTCGGAGCCGAAGCGCGAGGCGCGGAGCGCGAATGACCTCGCGCACTCGAGGGCGCCCTCGGAGCACGAGGGCGAGGGCGGAGGGCGACAGCCCACCCCTCGGGCCCCCGAGGCCCGCTCCGGGGGCACGCACACGCTGGAGAGCGGGGGCCGCCCCGTGACTCTCGCGGGGAGCGGCTGCCCCGGGCAGCAGGCGAGGCGCCCTGGCCCGCGGAGGCGAAGCAGACGCGGCCCCCCAAGCGCACATCACGTCATCAGATCAGATCCTCCTCCTCCTCCTCCTCCTCCTCCTCCTCCTCCTCCTCCTCCTCCTCCTCCTTCACCTCCTCCGCCTCCTCCTCCGCCGTCCCTCCTCCTCCTCCTCTTCCTCCTCCTCCTCCTCCCTCCTCGTATTCCTCATTCCCGCAGGGCGCCTGCGAAAATGAAACGTTGTGTAGGGCCGCTTCGAAAACGAAGCGTTTGGGGGGGAGCGCATGCGCAGACGAAGCGTGTTGGAGGGCGCCTGCGAAAACACTTCGGGCGATGAGGTCTCTTCTTGCGGAAACGGACAACTTCTGCAACCCCCGTATCGTATTGGTTGACATACTTGCGCTTTCACCATGTGAGAAAAGGCCCCCTTCGGTTTCACCAACAGGAGCTCTTCGAATCAAAATGGGCGCCCACCAGGTCCGCATCCTGTCCGCCTGCGGAAACGAAGACAAATGCAGGCATTACAGTCGGGGCTCTGAAGAAGGAACCCTTTTCGTTGGAGAGGGGCTCCGTGTTCCTTGATTGCTTCACAGTTTGCCTTGGGTTGTCCTTCGGTTTTCGATGGGAAATCGAAGTTCAACTTGTGGACGAAAGGGGCCTCGTTCCCTATTTAGGGTTCCTTGGGTCAACGCTCCGACTGTATTGCCAGAGGGATCCGACAGGCCCCAAGAGACACGGGCCTGCTGGGCCGCAGCAGGGAGCACCGCGGCGGCGCGGGGGGGCGGACAGCCTGCACCAAACACCGCAAGGAGGAGGAGGAGGAGGAGGAGGAGGAGGAGGAGGAGGAGGAGGAGGAGGAGGAGGAGGAGGAGGAAGGGGGGGACTGCGAGCCCGCAGGCGGGGCGCCTTCGGGGCCCCACGCGAGGGAGCTTCAGAAACCACGTGAGCGAGCCCTCCAAGGGCCCTGCCGGGGGGGGATGAGAGCGCGCGCACTGGAGAGGGCCCCGAGAGGGCCCCCGGAGGGCTCCAAGAGTGGACCGAGATGGCCCCAAGAGAGCCCCGAGGAGGGCCCCAAGAGAGCGGAGGCTCACGCAGTGGACCCTTCTGGGGGCTTTCTTCGGGCCTCTTGGGGCGCCCGATGGCTTTCTGAGGGCCCCAAGAAACCGCACGAGAGCTTCGAAAATATCGGACAACCAAAAGGAAACACACTGGGGGGAGGAAAAACACGCTGGGGGGAGGGAAGCACACTGGGGGGAGGGACACAAAGGGGGGGGAAAGGGAAAGACACTGGGCGGAGGCAGAACACACTGGGGGAGGGATACACACTTGGGGGGAGGGATACACACTGGGGGAGGGAAACACACTGACGCCGATGACGCCATGGTAAGCTGGGGGGGTCGGGACCACGCGAAGAAATAGGATCAAGAAGTACGCGCAGCAGGCTCAAGTGCAAAGCAGATGCTCGAGGTTAACTCTTGAGGGGTGGCGAGGCACAGGAGCTGGAACAGCGTCCGAAGTTCGGGCAGGACCGAATGTCCGAGAGCAACCATGTCCGACGAAACCTTCCTGGCAGCTCCCGACACACGGCGGCGGAGAGCCGCGTTGTGCTGGCCACCTGGCCTCAGCCCCGAGATGCAGAGGCACACTCCTCCACATCCACCTGATTATGTTTTTGTTGTAGGCTTCCCGAATGAGAGGGAGGCGCCTCCACCGCGATGCAAACTGGTCATGGAAGAGGCAAAGTAGAAGAGGGAAGAGAACGACGGGGCAACGGGCTACTCCGTCAGTGCCCCGGGCCCAGTGGGCAACGCTGCTTGCCTTGCCGCCGCTCTGCCGCCGCCTGCTGTTTCTCCACCCCTGCCTGAGCCAACCCCAGATTGCCCCCTCTCCACAAACAGTCACCACCACACCCGATGCCAGCGGCAAAACACCGCCCACGTAAGACTTCGAGCAAGCCGCCGGCCAACCCAGAGAGAGGACACGCCCCGTCTCCAACGTGGAGTGCGAGCTGGCGAAGCGCTCCACGCGCCGGCCTCTGCATGAACTACCCTCCTCGCCAGTCTCTTCGACCGCGCAGCCTAGAAATTTTGGCATCCCCGCCCTCACGTTCTGGTCGCTGCCGCTCGAACCCCACCTGTCTATACCAGCCTCCTCCCAGGAAGAGGAAGAGACGGAGGACCAAACGAGGGACAGGAAGAGGAGGAGGAGGAGAAGGAGGAGGAGGAGGTGGCGGTGTCAACGGCAGCGGAGGCGGAGTAGGCGGCGGAGGAGGGTCACTGCAGGTGCAGGCTGCCTCGTGGAAGATGACGAAGCCGAAACCCCGATGGTTCTGCGGAGGGCAAGCGCTGCCGTTCCCGCTGCCGTGGTCGGCCGGCCGGCACTTCTGCAGCCATGCCTGGCAAGGGGAGCAAGCGCAAGGGAAGGGGGAGGAAGAACGGGCGGAGTGGGGAGGTGGAGCGGGGATGAGGAGGTGGAGAGGGGCAGCGGGGGGAGGGAGAGGCCAAGGGTATTGTGGGGCCTCTGGCGCTCTGGGAAGATGTGACGCACCTTTTCTCTCTCCGATCATTCATGTCCGTCTCGTCCCTCGCTCTGGCACATTATGCCGTTTGTGTGCCCTTTGTCTTTCGCTCATGGTATGTTTCTGTGTGTTTGTACATGTACATAAAATACAGATTATATATGTGTGTATACATATATGATATGTGTAAACAGAAATGTCTGCATATGTGTAAATATGTTGTGTATATATGTATATGAATATAAAAGTGTGTATGTATGTATATATCTATGTATACATATAAATGTGTACATGCAGATATGTATGTATGTATGTATGGATGTATGTATGTATGGATGGATGGATGAATGGATGGATGGATGCGTGTATGTATGTATGTATGAATGTATGTATGTATGTATGTATGTATGTATGTATGTATGTATGTATGTATGTATACATGTATACATGTATCCATGTATACATGTATGCATGTGTATGTATATATTATATGTGAGTGTGTATATACAAATGTGTATATGATGCGTGTGAAATAGCATACAGACATCCGCATCCTCAATGAGCCCAAATAACAGTGCGATGGAGGTACAGGAGGGGCACGGGACGGTTGCGATGCCTCTTTTACGGATACGCTGCTTTCGTGGTGGTCTGGCTCGTTCACCCACTCGTCCGCTTCTCGTCATTTCGATGTCCCTCTCTCGAAACGATGACAGAGGACCCGATCAGATCACACAAAACCGAACCATGTTACACAAGATCCTACCATACCAGACGAGACCACCAAAAACTACCTCATGAACCCCCATTCAGGTGATCAGGAGTCTGGGGTGGTGACAGCATATTTGTTTCGCATTGGACGCACAATTAAACTCACGAGTCTACATACATCGCGACATAGAGATATAGGTTAATATCTGTATAGACAACTACCTATGAATCCGCCGGCCCCCTTATGGGGCCACCAGGCTGTAGGCCTAAGGTTCGCATTTTCCTGTACTTCTTGCTGCTTACTGTTCCTTGTTGATGGACCGCGCGAGGGGGGAGGCCCAAAACGGGCATTTCTACCACGCCCTGAGCGTGTCCTCTGAATTGCTGGGGTGGGTAAACATTGACAACCCTCACGCAGATCGGCGGGGTCAGGTCCAAAAACACATGCGATTTGCCACATTTCTGAATTCGGCTGCCACCCCTCAGGCAGATCGGCGGGATCAGGGTCCAAAAACACATGCGATTTGCCACATTTCTGAAATTCGGTGGCACCCCTCACGCAGATCGGCGGGGTCAGGGTCCAAAAAACAAATGCGATTTGCCACATTCCTAAATTTTGCTGCCACCCCTCACGCAGATCGGCGGGGTCAGGGTCCAAAAACACATGCGATCTGCCACATGTCTGAAATTCGGTGGCACCCCTCACGCAGATCGGCGGGGTCAGGGTCCAAAAAACACAAGGGATTTGCCACATCTCTAAATTTTGCTGCCACCCCTCACGCAGATCGGCGGGGTCAGGGTCCAAAAACACATGCGATGTGCGACATTTCTGAAATTCGGTGGCACCCCTCACGCAGATCGGCAGGGTCAGGGTCCAAAAACATATGGGATTTACTACATTTCTGAAATTCGGCGGCACCTCTCACGCAGATAGGCAGGGTCAGGGTCCAAAAGCACATGCGATTTGCCACATTTTTGAGATTCGGCGGCACCTTTCACGCAGATCCGCAGGGTCAGGGTCCAAAAACACAAGGGACTTCCGCATTTCTGAAATTCGGTGGCACCCGTGACGCAGATCCGCAGGGTCAGGGTCGAAAAACAAACAGGTCCCGACACTGCTCCACGGCGGCGCCCAGACCTCATGATTTAGCTTTTGCATCTCCCATTATCCGAGACAGGGGACGGCGGCATGGGGCGAAACCCTTACGGATATACATACGTTGATCTAGCTACATATGTGTGTATCTGGTCGAAGCGAGCGCATGTGTCCGTCGATGTAGGTATGTATATACATATGTGTATAGAACTGGTAGATATGAGCACAAACATAAATCTACATATATGTATCGGTTTGATTAACAAAAATATGCATATACAAATTGGTGTGTACATAAGCAGCTAGACCACTGCATCTCCCTAAATCAATGTATACATACAAACGCCATAGTGTCTGTATGTCTGCAAGTACGATCGCCAAATTGGTATTACTATAAGCCCGTCTCATAATCTATGTACCAATCCCACAATCAATATTCCTGTCCGTCTCACTGTCTACCTATCGAGACAATCATCGGGACAATCATCGAGGCAACCATCGGGACAACCATCGCAACCACCAGGACAACCCTCGGGACAACCATCGGGACTCATCGGGACAACCATCGGGACAACAATCGGAACAACCATCGAGACAACCATCGAGACAATCGTCGGGGAAACCGTCGGGACAGCAATGGGGAAATCATCGAAACAACCATTGAGACAACCATCGGGACAACAATCGAAACTACCAGCATGACATTCATCGGGATAAACATCCGAACAACCATCGAGACAAACGTTGGGGCAACCATCGGAACAACCATCGGGAAAACCGTCGGGACAACCGTCGGGACAACCATGGGGACAACCATCGGGACAGACATGGGGACAACCATCGGGACAACCGCGGCACAACGCACGGGCCAGGGCGACTCATTTTGGCCTGACATGGCCTCTAGCAGTGCAGGAACTCGCGCAACTTCGCCTCGCCTCGCCCGAACGCACGTCGAATAGGGCACGAACCGGAACCGAAACCGATTTCCCAGTTGGGCGACTCCGCTTCAAGTCGATCTGACCCCCCACCTGCCGACCGAACAACACAGAACGACTCAAGAACACACCGGCCCAAAACAAGGCAGACCTAAACAGGCAAGAACAATGAAGTGTGATCCGCTTGTTTTGTCTGCTGGTCTGACCTCTGCCGACTGCGCACATATGAACGGGTGGCATGGGGCAGACAACCGATAAGGAATTGGCACCAGAAGCAGGAGAGCAGGACGAAGACGGAGAAGGAGAAAGGAACACAATAAGAGGATGGTGACTTCGATGTCAGGGAAGCGGAGGCCGATCAAGCGTAGAAAAACGAAGGGGAGAAGGAGAAGGAGCTACTTGGACAACCGTATTTGTCTACCTACCCAGGGAGCCCGAACAAATCCCCCTGGACTTACCCCAACCCCAACCGAGACGTCTGGCAACACAAGTTGGTGAGTCGGCTTGATATACCACTCCGTTGGATCCCCCAGGGCTCACAGAAGTGGCGACTGTTACGCGGCTAGCAACACCCAGGGAGGTAAGGCTTCACTGGGATCCGCGTAGAACACCACTCCGCTAGACCTCCCAGGTGGGCCTCCCGGGAACTCACGAAGTTGACGACAACACCGAGGCAGGGCGAGGTTCAGCTCAAGACGTCACTCCGCAGAGCCTCCCAGAGACTCACGAAAGTGGCGACAGTTGCGCAGGTCGCAGCGCCTACGCAGGGCAAGGTTCCACTTGGGTCCACGTGGGACATCACCCCGCTGGGCCTTCCAGGAGCACACGAAAGTGGCGACACTTCCGCGGTTCGCATCACAGAGATGCGGCCGTGCCCCACTTGGGCCCCCGGGCGAAGATCGCGCAGCGAAACTCCTGCCGATGCGACACCTCAACTGCGCCAGCGAGCATGTCGCGACACGCGCGCCGCACGACCCGCGGCACAGCGAGGCGCCGCTCCCTGCGCGGAGCGAGACCCCCGCTCGAAGGTCGCCCAAAGGGGACCCCCGCTGGTGCGGCGCAGCTGCGCTGCCGCGCACCACACAACGCGCAGGCGCCGCACGACGGGTCGCGCCGCGAGGCACCGCTACCTGCGCGGAGCGGAACCCTCCGCGCGGCAAGACCCCCGCCGATTGGAGGGGGGGTAGAAAGTCGAGCAACCGGAAGAGACGAGGATGATGATGATGATGATGATGATGATGATGATGATGAGGAGGAGGAGGAGGAGGAGGAGGAGGAGGAAGACGAGGAGGAGGAGGATTAACACGAGCTCCATCATTAAGCGTGGAAGAAAACAAAACGAAACACGAAGAGGAACAGGCAGTGAGAGCATACGAACAGAAGAAGACACGTGATACCGAAAAAGATAACCAGGGAGACGAGTATACATAAAGACACTAGCCTTAAACTTATCATTGTTGCTTGTGGTTTGGGGGGTGCTAGGAGGGCAAATATATAAATGGTTACCTCAATTCACGCTTCTTCTCTGGCGGAGGGTGCCCCATGGAAGGCTACAGAGAACCCCCAGGAAAGCTGCGAGACGCCTGCACATCGTCGGTGGACTGATGGCATGACTACCGAATGAAGTCTCAACGACTCTGAGAGGCCGATAGCGAAGTGCTAGTGCGCAATAGAGCGTCAATGACAGCACTCTTGGGGACAGCTCGAAGTATACACCGACTCGTCTGGTCGGCCAAGGAGCTCGGTATACGGACGCCCACGCTTCCCAATATTCTGCATGCTGAAGCGTCTATACGCCGATGTCCGTCGCCGAAATGAAATATGGGACTTGGCCGACCAAACAGCATGGTTCACACATCGATTCCCTCCAAGCACAACGCAGAAATAGTCGCCGTTTGTGGGCCAGGAAGACGACCAGGGTGCCCCTGCCACTGGTGAGAACAATGTACAACTGTCCACAGTCGTTATGCCTCAGCAGCGACCAACCCCATGACATGACCTGGCGCCTAACAAAGCGCGGCCGCACACCGCCTTCTTCACCCCGGCATACTCGCAGAAGATTGTGTACAGTTCGTCTTGCGTCAGGTCCTGTGGCGCGGGCTGATGTCGCCAGAGGGCAACCCAATGGCTCGAGCACCCCAGGCTGCCTCGCCCCAGCGGGTAAGTGGGCAAAGCAGACCGACAGGCCACGACTAGAACGTACGCGCGACTTTAGCAGCCGACCAGCCACCCCGAGAACAGGGCCAGAGCTGCCGAAGTGTGGGGGCAGAAGAATGGGACAGCCGCGGCACCGCACAACGGCAGCTCGGGAATGCCTCCAGGAGTGTAAGCTCGTGGGCTTGGTGTGGAAGCTCAGCGAGGAAACACCGAGGCCATTAGACTCCCTCCCCACGTCCCCGTCCATTATTCACTCCCTCCTCCTGTGTGTTGGTTGCTGCGTGCTGCATGTTGTGTGATGTGCTCTGTGGATTGTAGTGCGTGAGCTGCGCATGTTATGTGGAGTTGTTCGTGCACATTTTGATGCGCGTTGTGTCTGCTGTGTTCTTCAGCAGTTGTGAGTGCCGTCTTGAGGGCTTCGAGGGCCTTCTCAAGGGTTTCTAAGGAGGCTCTTGGGCACGCTTGGGCTATCCTGGGCCATGCAGCGGGATCCTCTGGGGAACTTTTTGGAGCTCTGTGGGGATCTGTTGAGCCGACGTGATGCCCTCCGAGAGCGAATATACGACGATGTTGATACACAATCCCCTCCGAAGCGAAAAGCATCTTGAGGTGTTTCACGCGTTGGGGGCCTCCCGAGGGAGTCCTAAGAACAACGGAGTGTTACCGTCCTATCCAAGCGCTCTTAAGCTGTCCCGGGGCCCTCTTGATTGCTGCCGAAACGATCGGAGGCAGAAATACCTGAGAACTCAAAGCTAAGAAAACCGGTGGCTGATTAAAGACGTCACGTGTCTGGCGCATCGTTTGGAACCCCTCAGAGTCTCTCCGAGAACATCTCGTGAAGCTCTCGGCACGTATTCGGGTCCTTCAATCGTCGTGGAGGTCTCTTCAGCGCTCGGGGTAGTTTCTACAGCCCTCTTGCATCACCTTGACAGCATTTTGACGCTCCCTTGGGATATCTTGTCTGTCGCAGGCCCAAGGAGGCCTGGAGAGGGGACTACGCCGTTTGATATTATTCTGTGCTTAGGGATGAGCATGGCCTAACAAACTCCGAACACCTTCTCTTCCCAAAAGGCGATTCCCATCATCAATTCGAGAATCGCTTTGCGGTTCCCGGCTTAGGCTAATCGGCGCCGGGTTCGGCTACCCCGAGTCCTCTTTCCCTCCAAGCACACCTTCTTCTCTTACTCAAGACGTGAATCGTGTCGCGCTTCCCGTCACAAGCTGAACTCCTGAGTGATCAAAATCCCAGGCGCCTCTCCTCCTCAATATCCCCTCCTCCTGAAACCAAAACGTGAAACGTATTAGGCCTACTGTCATACGTGCGCCATCTTGGTCCATCGTGGACGCCCATTTGAGCCCGAGAAACCGCAAGCATAATGACTCCGAGACCCGTCCACTCGGCACCCCATCCCCTCCCGTCATTCAATACAAAGAAAAATCCGTTGACACCTCCCGTCATACTCCGAACCACCGCCACTTCAGCAACCTGACCCCCCTCCCACCCGAAACCGAGTCCGACCCTCTCCTCTTCAATCAAAATAGTTTCGCGCTTCCCGTCATACAACGAACGTTTCCCCACACGGCGGCCCCACCGCATGTGCTCTTGCATCCGAACGTGAACCGCGTCGCGATCCCATCATCAATCGATATGTACTCCCAAAGCTACCATCACGCATTCAAAGATGTGCTTGCACTCCCGAGGCCACAGTACCTAACAAAAACATGCATACGCGCTCCTGAGGCCAAGACACAAAAAAAACTAAACTGACAGAGAGCACAACACTCTCTCGAAACAGTGGGACTATGAGCAGGACCGCTCAGTACACAAAACACTACGAGGGCCTGTTGTAACCCTGAAGGATTTGCCAAAGGCGTTTAGCCACACAGAACGTGTGAGGGGTGTGCCCAGATGGAGCGAGGCCCCTTGCGAACGCAGTCGCCATGGCCTTTGGTGGGGCTCTCTACGGGGCCATGAGACGCCACGAAACGTGTGAGGGGTGTGCCCAAAAATTGGGCGGAGCACCATGCGGGCACAGCCACTGGTGCCTTCGGTGAAGCTCCCTACGGGGCCACGAAACGTGTGAGGGGTGTGCCGGAGTGGAGCGGGGCACAACGCGGGCGCAGCCACTGGGGCCTTCGGTGACACTCCGCATGGAACAACGAAACGTGTACAAGACGTGCCGACATGCGGCGGGGCACCATGCGGCCGCAGCCACTGGGGCCTTCGGTGACACTCCGCATGGAACAACAAAACGTGCATAAGACGTGCCGACATGCGGCGGGGCACCACGCGGGCGCAGCCACTGGGGCCTTCGGTGACACTCCGCATGGAACAGCAAAACGTGCATAAGACGTGCCGACATGCGGCGGGGCACCACGCGGGCGCAGCCACTGGGGCATCAGGCGGTGCGCCCTTCAGGGCCACGACGGCACGCGGGAACGGCGTGCCGAAGCGGGGCGGGTCACCGAGAAAGCTCCCTATAGGGGCCACGAAGCGTGCGAGGGGCGTGCCGAAAACAAGGCGGGGCACCGTGCGGGCGCAGCCGTTGGTGAAGAGGCCCTGGGACACACAAATAAATACACACAAATAGAAACATCTCCCATATTTTCCCACATCTTCTGGGGTTCCGTCTTCCCCCCCACTTCCCATAGTTTCCCATGTCTTCTGGGGGATCGACGATTCATTGTGTCTGTGTGTGTTTTCCCCTCCTGAGTGGGGGCCGTGGGCGGTGCCCCCTGTGGGGGCACGAAGCCAGGAATGGGGTGCGTCGAAGCGGAGATGCGGGAGGCAGAGCAACGAGGGAAGGAGGAAGCGGAGAGCAGAGGAGGGGAAGGAGGAGGGGAAGGAGGAGGAAGAGGAGAAGGGGAGGGGAAGGGAGGAGGGGAGGGAGGATGAAGAGAGGAGGAGAGGGAGGAGAGGAAGGAGGGGAAGGAGGAGGGAGGAGGAGGGGAAGGAGGATGTGAAGAGGAGGAGACCCGCAGCGCTGCGGATGCAAGACAAGGACCCAGCTCACGGGAGGGGGGTAGGAACATTTGATCTGCGCTTCCCCAGGCCAGGACCTCGTAAGCTTGGATGGATCCGATATCATATGATCACGGTCCCTCGTGAAACGCATTTCGGGCAAAAAGGGAAGCGCTGTTGCTTGAGCCAGTTGCTAATTATGATGTTGCTCGCCGTCTGCTGTGGCTGATGGCGGCTGCTTGGTGTTGTTTGCTGCTGATTGCTCCTGCGTATTGCTGGTTACACTCTTTGCCGCTGTGCGATGCTGCCTGCTGCCTCTTAGGCCTCTCTTTGCGTCTCTTGGGGCTCCTCGTGGGCCCTTCCGTGCGCTTGGTCTAGCCTCGTGGGGCCCGTCGGGCAGCCTCGGGGCTCCTCGTGGGCCGCCTTAAAATTTCTTCGGAACCTCTTGAGGCACATTGCCTGCAAGATCGGCTCCCGGACCCTCCCCCATTCCCCCCCACGAAGCACGAAGAAAGGCTTGGAGGGAGGAGTGGAGGGGGCCTGCAAGGGAGAAAGGGGGGGGACAGGGACACAATACTCACAAAGCCTCCCAACCGCTCGCAGAGCTGCGGAGTTGCGGAGATACTCTGAACGTTCATTCGCTCGACTGCTGGGCCGTATTCTGCCAACATGTCAGCCAGCAATCCGGCCATCCGGCCAGCCTGCCAAAGCCAGATCACCGCCAGCTGCATTGCCAACATGCCAGTCGATTAGTCAGACAACCAACCAATCAACCCAACCAACCAACACAGCCATGGAGGAAATCAGGAGGCTGGGGGCAGGGGGCGGAACCGTTGTGATGTTTTGTGCAGGCTGCCTCCTGGGAATCAGGGCGTTCATGCAGACTCCCTATCGGAGCAGTGCCCCTCCCTGTCCTTGCCGTTGTCATCACTTCATCCCCTCTTCCTGCTCTTCCTCTTCTCCCATATCCGCCGCATCCTCCTACTGCACCTGCTCCATCTGTTCCTCCTCCTCCTTATGTCTCCATCCTCCGCCAGCTCCTCATCCTCATCATCCTCCTAGGTTTCTCTCTCCCTCCCTCCATCCCACCCCTCCTCTCAATTCCTAAACCTCCATCCTTTCCCCACCCGTCCACGTCCCTCTCCACCTCCACCATGCCTCCTTCTCTTCATCTCGCCCTCTGCCTATTCCTATGTTCCCATAACCCCCATATCATCCCTCCTCCTCTTCCTCCTCCTCCTCAACCTCCTCCTTCTACCCACTCCACCACTCTCTCTCTTTCTCTCTCTCTCTCTCGCTCTCTGAGCTCGTCATTCTAGCAGGTGACAAGGGAGCATGCCACTAGATCAGACCGTTCGTGGCGCGACATGTGTGTCCGTTTTCCGCCCCATCCCCCTACTGGTCATCGTCATCTTCACCGAAAAAAACGGCGTCATCACAACAACCACCATGACCATCAGCATCGCCATCAGCATCATCATCCTCATCCTCCTCATCCTCCTCATCATCACCATCATCATCAGCAGCATCAGCATCAGCATCAGCATCAGCATCAGCATCAGCATCAGCATCAGCATCAGCAGCATCATCATCATCATCATCATCATCATCATCATCATCATCATCACCACCACCACCACCACCACCACCACCACCACCACCACCATCATCATCATCATCATCATCATCATCATCATCATCATCATCATCATCATCATCATATTCGTATTCATCTTCTTCTTCATCATCATCACCATCATCATCATCATCATTATCATCACCATCATCAGTATCATCATCATCATCATCAGCATTGTCATCATCACCACAAGCATCAGCATCAGCATCATCAGCATCAGCATCAACATCAGCATCATCATCATAATCAGCATAATCGTCATCATCATCATCATCAGCATCATCATCATCATCATCATCATCATCATCATCATCATCGTCATCGTCATCAGCATCGTCATTATCATCAGCATCATCAGCATAATCATCAGCATCAGCAGCAGCATCATCATGAATCAGCATCATCATCATCATCATCATTATCACCAGTATCATCATCACCGTTATCGTCATCATCATAATCATCGTCGGCATCATCACCATCATCGCCATCATCGTCGTCAGCATCATCAGCAGCATCAGCATAATTATCATCATGATCAGCATCATTATGTTTAGTGTTAATATGATTATTCGTAGTACTGTTAGAGTTATGAATGCCGTATACATATCTACCTAGTACGACTAGTAATATCAATGTAGAATTGGCATTATCAGAATCAGCATCCTCAATATCATCATCGTCATCGGCATCGTCGTCATCATCATCATAATCCTCAGCATCATCATCTGCATCATTATCATCGTGTTCATCAATCACCCTGGTCATCACTGTCATGATCATACGCATCATCATCGTCACGATCATCACCAACATCATCATCCTCGTTGTCATCGTGATCATCGTCATCATCATCAGCATCAGCTTCATGATCAAAATCGTCATTATCAGCAGCAGCAGTATCATCATCGTCATCGTCATCTTCATCGTCATCGGCATCGTTATCATCATGTCAGAATCACCATCACCATCATCAGCAGCCGCATTATCATCATCATCATCATCATCATCATGAGCATCATCGTTGTTTACACTGTCGTCATCATCCTTATCCATATCATCATCAGCAGCAGCATCATCGCCATCGTCATCGTCATCCTCATCATCAGCCCCATCGTCAGCAGCAACTTTATCGTCATCCTCATCATCAACACAGCAGCAGCAGCAGAATAAGCAGCATCATCAGCAGCACCGTCATCACCAAAACGATCACTATAACCAGCACCAGCACCAGCACCAGCACCATCACAACACCATCACCGTCACCCTCACCCTCACCCGCACCCTCACCCTCATCCTCCCCCTGCTCCTCCTTCTCGTCCTCCTCCTCCCCCTCCTCCTCTTCCTCCTGCTCCCCCACCCCCTTCCCCCCTCCCCCATCCGCCTCCTCCTCCTCCTTCTCGCCCCTCTCCTCAAAATCATCATCGTCATCATCAGCATCAGCATCATCATCGTCATGATCATCAGCATCATCACTATCATCATCATCATCATCATCATCATCATCATCATCATCATCATCATCATCATCATCATCATCACCACCAAAAGCATCGTCATCATCATCAGCAGCATCATCATCAGCAGCATCATCAGCAGCATCATCAGCATCATCATCAGCATCATCAGCATGATCATCAGCAGCATCATCATCAGCATCGTCAACATCGTGAGTGCTAGCATTCGCATTCGTACTGGCACTAATATTGGCAATAGGATGTGCGTGGGTGTGAGTGTTAGAACTTGGTAGTAGTATGAGTAGTACTAGTACTATTATGGAGATTAGCATGATTCTGCATAGTATTAGTAGTAGGCGTAGTCGAAATAGTGGTGTAACAGTAGTGGTATATTTATGAGTATGCGTATGAGTATGAGTATGAGTATGAGTATGATTATGCGTATGCGTATGCGTATGAGTATGAGTATGAGTATGAGTATGAGTATGCGTATGAGTATGAGTATGAGTATGAGTATGAGTATGAGTATGAGTATGAGTATGAGTATGAGTATGAGTATGAGTATGAGTATGAGTATGAGTATGAGTATGAGTACGAATATGAGAGTGAGAATGAGAATCAGAATGACAATGAGAATGAGAATGAGAATGAGTATGATTATGATTATGATTATGATTATGATTATGCGTATGCGTATGCGTATGCGTATGAGTATGAGTATGAGTATGAGTATGAGTATGAGTATGAGTATGAGTATGAGTATGAGTATGAGTATGAGTATGAGTATGAGTATGAGTATGAGTATGAGTATGAGTATGAGTATGAGTATGAGTATGAGTATGAGTGTGAGCGTGAGTGTGAGTATGAGTATGAGTATGAGTATGAGTATGAGTATGAGTATGAGTATGAGTATGAGTATGAGTATGAGTATGAGTATGAGTATGAGTATGAGTATGAGTATGAATATGAGTATGAGTATGAGTAAGAGTATGAGTATGGGTATGAGCACGAGTAAGAGTAAGAGTATGAGCATGAGCATGAGTGTGTGAGTATGAGTATGAGTGAGATCCTGAGTATGAGTATGAGTATGGGTATGAGTATGAGTATGGGTTGGCGTATGAGTACTAGTATGAAAAATAATGGTATAAGTAGTTGTACTATTCCGAGTGGTAGTACTAGCGTTAGTTCCCCAAGTAGGCCTACCTAACGGGTTCTTCCTTGGTCGAAAGTTGGTACCTCGTGTGGATATGTTGCCCGGGCGTCGGAGGTTCCCCAGGTTCCTCGGGTTCCCCGCGTTCCTCGGGTTCCTCGGGTTCCTCGGGGTCCTCGGGGTCCCTGGGTTCCTCGGGTTCCTCGGGATCCTCGGGTTCCTCGGGTTCCTCGGGATTCTCGGGTTCCTCGGGTTCCTCGGGTTCCTCGGGTTCCTCGGGTTCTTTCGGTTCCTCGGGTTCCTCGGGTTCCTCGGGTTCTCTGGATTCTCCGCGTACCCTGGGTTCCTCGGCAATGCCGACTAATGCCAAGCAATGACAAGCAATGCCAAGCGATGCGAAGCAAGGCCAAGCAGTGCCAAGCAGTGCCAAGCAATGCCAAGCAATGCCAAGCAATGCCAAGCGTTGCCAAGCGATGCGAAGCAATGGCAAGCAAGGCTTTGCAAGGCCAAGCAATGGCAAGCCAGGTCAGGCAATGCCAAGCAATGCCAGGCAATGCCAGGCAATGCCAAAATGCCAAGCAATGCCAACCCAAGCCAAGCGATGCGCCCACGATGCGCCCATGCAATAGGCTCTCCCCTAATTGGGGCCACGCTGGGTTCGTGTCAGTATAAGTTTTAGTGCTATGATCACTATCATCATTCCTCTCTGGATCCCACTCCCCTCGACGATTCTCTCCACCCCTCTCCCATTTCTCCCCTCCTGTTCAGTCGCGCCTGTGTCCATCTACCCTCCCAGTCCTGATCCCGCCTCCTCCCGCCTAATTACCCCCTCCTCCCCTGCACATCTTCTTCCCTCACTGCACCCTGGGAGGGGTCGTTCCATGGGAGAGCTCAGCTTCAGACGTGGCGGCGAATACACGCAAGCCAGAAGACTGGACCAACCCGTGACCGCGACCGCCCAGGACCGTCCGAAAACGAGCGAAAACCTCCGAAAGCCGCCACAGGCCTCGCGACATCTCCGAGAACCGCCGAAGACCACAAGAACCCACCGCGGTCCCTCTGACCCGCGCTGCCCCCGCCCCGCTGCGACCCCACGGTCCTGCGGCACGCCACCCACAAAGACCTTCCTGTCTTGCGACATGGTGCCCCGGCCAAGGCCAGAGCCTGGCGGCGCAGGAGGCCAAGGGCACAGCCCGCCCAGCCAGCGCGGCGAGGAGGAGACCGCGACGAGGGGGAGCGAGCTGAGGAGCGGAGAGGAACGAAGAGGGGACAGGGAGCATGGAGCAGGGGGCAGTGAGGGCAGATGGCGCAGGAGCGGGACGGAGGAAGAACAGAGCGGGAGGATAACGAAGCGGCGCAGCGGTTGCGCTGCGCAGGGCCTAGCGTCAGGACCGACGTCCGCCGCTTGGTATGGTGAATATCCCAGCAACAAGTATGATTAAACGATGTGCAGTATGATTAAACGATGTGCACCCAATAATCGCAAACGAAAACGACAGGAGGAAACTATCCCTGACAGCGATATACGTGGAATCAGCCCTGGCGCGCGCATGTCAGCATACATGGGGTCCAAAGAAGACGGTCGAAAACTCATGAGATTCGACCCATGCGCGCCCATGGCAGTCTGCAAGCTAAACGAAACCAGCACATTCTGGCGCACAAAAACCACGCATTGAAAACACCCGCAATATGGACGCATTACGGATAATATCGAAGAAATTCTGCCACAGCTGAAATGCGAGACGTCCTGGCTTTGAACCTTGAACAGAAGACCAAACGTACCAAACAGCTGGAGCTTTCCCACTGTCCTCGATCCTCTAGACGGAATATACATGACGACAAATTCTGCTGGGCAAGAATAAAATAACACGCTGCGATGCTCAGCAGGCAGCAGGGCACAGTTGGCACCACAGCGGGAAACGGCAACGGTGGTCTGAGGCATGTATGCCGTACGTCCAGTTATGTTGCGATCCAGCTGTTTGCATTTCGCGTGGGCCACCGGTCCGCGAAGCCGCATGAGAAGTCGATCCGTTGTGTTTAGTGTGTTGCTGGAGCGCCGGGTGCCAAAGTCTGGAAATCTCGCAACCACTCCGAGTGATCAGCGGATGTCGCTCTTCTGTCCCCCATCCCATCCATCCCACCCTCCGTCATCTCCCGTGCCCTCCTCCCACCTCACCTCCGACCCAGTCTCCATCCCCCATACCGTACACTCCCCTACCCTCCCCCTTCCCCTCCCAACCCCTTTCGTTCCCTCCTTCCCTCCCTCACTCCCTCCCTCCCCGTTCACCCCCCTCCACCGTTGCCCCTCAAATAATCCCCCGTCCCTTCCTTGCGCCCCACCCTCGCCAACTCAATCCCACCAGCCCCTTGGGATAAGGTGATCGAACACATTCTTTTTCCCTCTTCCACAAATTCTCTTCCCTTCAGAAGGTGTACCCCACCCAACCCCCTCCCTGAGAAAGTGGCAGGGAGTCCTTTTTCGCCCAAGATGGCTCCAAGAGGGTCTCCGATGCGCCAAAATTGCCTCCGAGGCTCCTCCAAGAGGACTGGCGAGGGCCACAAGACAGTTCCAAGGGCTCTCGCAGCCCCCATCAAAAGCCCCTCAGGAGGCAAGAAACCTCAAACAAAACCTACGGACAAAAATACCCTGCGACGTACCCAACCCTTTCTATACATGTGGCGAGTATACTCAGGACCACTCAATGCTGACTGGCATTCTGAAGGACTCGCAGTGCGCCAGAAGAGCACCCATCAGTGATTCCAGAAGAGCGCGATAAGAAGAGCCGCGGCGAAAATACAAAACGGACACACAAGGGGCGTTTGTGGTGGTCCGCGTATGACGTACCTCCGCTGGACCTTCCAAAAGCCAAAGAAAGTGCCGACAGTTCCGCAGATCGCAGCCCCCCAGGGCACCGCGAGCTACAGTGGTGGTCTGCGTATGACGTACCTCCGCTGGGCCTCCCAGGAGACCACGAGAGTGCCGACAGTTTCGCGGATCGCAGCCCCCCAGGGCACCGCGAGTTACAGTGGTGGTCCGCGTACGACGTACCTCGGCTGGGCCTCCCAGGAGCCCGCGAAAGTGCCGACAGTTTCGCAGATCGCAGCCCCTCAGGGCACCGCGAGCTATAGTGCTGGTCCGCATATGACGTACCTCCGCTGGGCCTCCCAGGAGCCCACGAAAATGCCGACAGTTCCGCAGATCGCAGCCCCTCAGGGCACCGCGAGCTACAGCGTTGGTCCGCGTATGACGTACCTGCGCTGGGCCTCCCAGGAGCCCACGAAAATGCCGACAGTTTCGCGGATCGCAGCCCCCCAGGGCACCGCGAGCTATAGTGGTGGTCCGCGTATGACGTACCTCCGCTGGGCCTCCCAAAAGCCCACGAAAGTGCCGACAGTTTCGCAGATCGCAGCCCCCCAGGGCACCGCGAGCTATAGTGGTGGCCCGCGTATGACGTACCTCCGCTGAGCCTCCCAGGAGCCCACGAAAGTGCCGACAGTTTCGCGGAGCGCAGCCCCCCCAAGGCACTGCGAGCTAGAGTGGTGGTCCGCGTATGACGTACCTCCGCTGGGCCTCCCAGGAGCCCGCGAAAGTGCCGACAATTGCGCAGCCCAACGGCACGAGAGAAGAGGAGAGGGGGAACACAGGAAACAGGAGATAAGGAGG